AAACTGGTGGTGGTGTAGGTGTTTCAGGAGTCGGGGCAGGCGTTGGCAAGAGACTTGGCAGCACTAGTGGCACTGTAGGTACTGTTCCTGCAATTTGCTTGCCTTTCCTACTATAGGTTAGTAGCCCCCCCCTGAACAGTGGGCCTAACACCTCTTGTCTCATTTTTCTTTTCTTCTTCATTCTCCTGCTCCTCCTCAACCAATTCTCCCTCCCAAGGAATCGATACAGAAATGGATTTCTCCACATTGTTCACCGATCTCTCACTATTCTCCTCCTCTCGCCTCATACTTCTAGTATTGGGCGAGTTACCAATGGATGAAGTTACCTTCCGGGTGTAATATGGCTCGAGTTCTTGAAAGTGCACATCCATGCTCACAAACAACCTTTTCTCCACCGGGCTCCAGCAAACATATCCCTTCTGAGTAGCAGAATATCCCACAAAGATGCACTTCACAGCTCTAGGAGCAAGCTTCCCGACGGATGGCCTGTTGTCCTTCATAAAGCACACACAGCCAAACACTTTAAGTGGAAGAATCCCACCATTATCTCCCTTCAATATCTCACACGGAGACTTCCAATCCAGCACTCTCGAGGGCATTTTGTTGATCAGCGCTGCTGCAGTCAATACTGCTTGCCCCCACAATGTTTCTAGGACATTCATAGAGATCATCATGCTTCTAGTAACCTATAAAAGATGTCTGTTCTTCCTTTTCGCTACCCCATTCTGAGCTGGTGTGTATGGATAGGTTGTCTGATGATGTATTCCCTGAGCTAACAAATATTCTTCAAACGCTCTATTAGTATGTTCTGTCCCATTATCCGACCTCAATACCTTCACCACTGCTCCGTATTGAGTCTGAACATTCCTATGAAAGTTTTGGAAGCATCCAAACACTTCACTCTTATTCTTCATCAGGTATAACCAAGTAACACGAGAGAAACAATCAATAAATGTAACAAAATACTTATATCCATTCATAGAACTTGTGGAACAAGGCCCCCAAACATCTGAATGTACCAAGTCAAATGCATGAGAACTTCTATGACCAGAACTAACATAAGAGCTTCTAGTAAGTTTTCCAAACTCACATGCATCACACACAAGTTCCTGTTTATTTGCTTTCTCAAATAAAGAAGGATACAATCTACCTAAAACACTAAAGGATGAGTGTCCCAAACGCTGGTGATGAAGCATTAACTCACTCTCAGCACTCATTTTAGATCACACTCCTGCTTCCTCTACGACTGACACCAATGTTGAATCCAACCCTTCACGATCTAGATACCACAGTCCACTACGCCATGTGCCAGTCCTAAGTCTCCGCCCTGTCCCCTTCTCCTGGAAAATCACCTTGGGAATATCAAAAGAAACAATGCATTTTAGTTGGAGGATGATAGAACTAATAGATAAAAGATTGACTGGAAAAGAAGGAGCATGCAAAACATTGGACAAAGTTACAGAACCAGTACAATCGACTGTACCCTTACCAACCACCGGCTGAAATGTACCATCAGCTGTTTGAATACTATCAGGCGATGCTAAGTGAGGACTATCCATTCTGATGATCTGTTGGGAGACATAGAAGCAAGAGCATGTATGTCATCAGTACCTTTGGTAGGATGAGCATAGGTAGCAGTGTTGCCTCTGGCGAAAAATGAAGTGGATGCCTCCTCAGTCCCACTCCTCAAGTCTCCATGCACTACTACTTGATGCTTCCTCCTGAGTATCGCCAGGAGAGCACGATCCTCCTCAGTGAAGACCACCTCAGCTTCTTCTTCCTCTGCTACCATCAGATTCGCCCGGTTCCCTACTCCTCTTCCACCTCGTCGACCCCCACGGCCACGACCACGACCTCCGAACTGTCCATGTCCACCCGAATCTCCTTCCTTGGGTGGCTTGGTGCAAGCATGCCTTAGATGCGCACCGCAGCCGCAGTTGTAGCACTGTCGAGTCTCTCCCCTAGATCCAGTGTTGCTAGAGGCTGCCAGTGCTGACTTCACCACAGGAAGTCCACCTGTCCCCGCCTGCAGCCGAATGCGAGTCTCCTCTTGGATCATAGCAGAGACAACCTCCTCAAGCGTGGGAATCTTCGGATGAGCGAGCAGCAATGCAATTCGCTGTGCGAACTCTGATGTCAATCCCTTGAGGAATACCATAGTCCTCTCCTGTAGGAAGGCCTCCCGCTCTTTACATCCCGGCTCCTTGCAGCTCGTCCGAGGTAAGAAGTGATCATAATCTAGCCACAGACGCTCCAGCTCTGTGGCATACTCCTATACAGTCCGCTCTCCCTGGACTGTGGCGTCGATTTCTCCCTTAATCTGGAACACTCGCAGGTTATTCCCTACTCCATCATAGGTCCTCCTCAACTTCTCCCAGACGTCCTTCACCTTCTCAATGCCATCAACTGTGGCGGCGATCGACTGGACCAATGAGTTGAGGAGTCAGATATATACCAACATGTGAGTGGACTTCCACTCATCTCTTCCTTCCGAGTCCTCATCCGGCTCTGTCGCCTCTCCTGTCAGATAACCCTCCAGGTTCCTCCCTGCAAGGGTGTATCCCCCCCGCCGTGACCAGCTCAGGTACGTACTAGGTCCATCCAGCTTCAGATCGATGGTCGAAAGCTCCAACTTCTTTGATGGTTTTGTCGCGCTCTCACCAGCCGACAACTTCATTAGCTTCATCAAAGTTAACACCTCCGCAGGGTTCAACTTCTTAATGATCTCCTCCATCGAACAGGCTTCAGACCCAACACCTGGTCACCTACTCTTCCGACCCTTGTTGTGTGCAGTGAAAATTTCGGCAGCACCTCTGCTGCACAACAAGAGTAGGATCGCAAACAAATTCTCGTTTCTTAGAGGAAACAAGAACCAAAAACAGTTATATATCTCATCGATGTGAGATATATACTCTTCCTATCATCAGTTCGAGGACTGAGTCGAGGGAACCAATGCCAAACTCTAGGTCCAGCATGGTGCGGCAGGGGGTACGAGGTGGCAGCGGCTAGAGGGGGGGTTTGGAGGGGTTCGGGGAGGGGGGGGGGTGAGAGGGGAGGAGGGGGGCGGCGGCGGCTAGGGTTTTTGGTGGAGGCTCTGATACCAAATTGAATATGAAAACCCTTATTGTATTATGAAGTTTCTTGGGCTTATATAGACCCCTACAAAGCACAACTTACAAATAAGTCCCTATTTATATTACTAATATGTCAACACATATAATATTAACCATTGACCTTCACGATTAGTAACATAACACATAATAATTATTTTACTTAAATTATCCGAACATGATTACAAAAAGAATTATTTTGGTGACTAAGTTAAAACAAAATTAAATAGGCATTAACACTTCTTCTTCTACAGTTACTTTTGACCCGGTAAAACTTTAAACACCACATTTAACTGCTAGCCGCATCTCATTTATGTTGAGCAAGTGACAGTTACCCCTCACATGAAAGATTGCCAGTTCAAACCAACCGATGCTCTCTCTCTCTCTCCCTCTCTCTCAGCCAATGGCCCGAGTTCAATGTATTAATGATGCATCAGAGTTCACATAATCTATAATCTGCAGTGCACCTGGACCATCGGATACTTTCTCCTCTCTCTTAATTTCTTTCCTATATAAACGCTCCCCTCCTTGCCTCGTCAAAAACAGAACAAGAGCATCCTAAAATAGGAAAGGAAACAGAAAACTAACCTAAAACAAAAATGAGGAGAATGAGCTTGTGGGTAATTTTTCTTCTAGTGTTGTTTTTGAAGAAAGAGTGCATTAATGTTGAGGGTAGAGGAGGTTTCATAAGGACAAATGGGTGCCATTTCAATGTAAATGGGAACCCGTTTCTTGCAAATGGGTTTAATGCTTACTGGCTAATGTATTTGGGCTCAGACCCATCTCAGAGAGGTAAAGTCTCTGATGCATTCAGTCAAGCTTCAAGCCATGGGCTAACCGTTTGCAGGACTTGGGCTTTCAATGATGGAGGATCTAGTCCTCTTCAATCCTCCCCTGGATTCTACAATGAGCAAATGTTCAAGGTATATATCATCATTAACCCACATTTCCGTTTCTTTCTTTCTTTTTTGCTTTCTCTGGTTATTTCTAAGAAAAACTCAGTTGTTTGGTGAGAAATGAGGGTTAAAATTTCGTACACGTTCAGCCTGTTCGATGTGCTTTTATGTCTGAGTTGCTCTGATATCATCTTATAATCATGAATTACTTGCACTTAAACACCCCAGCGTTTACAGCATTTTTAACTTTGATGTCCTGACGCTTTTTCCCCTGATAGTACCCCACATTTCAAAACAATTAACTTTGGTATCCTAGAATGACTTACTTCCGGGTATCTTTCCTTTTTTTTTCCCCCTCCTTTCTTCTTCTTCTTTTTTTTTAACTTCATTGTGCAAAAAGAAACTCATGGAATCAAAATTAACCATGGGCTAAACTTTAGGTTGTATAAGTGCGAATAACCTAAACTAACACTAAAACATTGAGATTGTGTGAAGTTTAGGATTATAATTTTATACTCTTAACAATTTATTTGTTTATTTATTCATTGTATGGTGAAGGGTTTAGACTTTGTGGTGTCTGAGGCTGGAAGGTACAAGATTAGGCTGATACTAAGCTTGGTGAACAACTATGAGGACTTTGGAGGGAAGAAACAGTATGTAGAGTGGGCAAGGAGTCAAGGGCAGATTATTGGATCCGAGGATGATTTCTTCACTAACCGTGTTGTCAAAGGTTATTATAAGAATCATGTTAAGGTAAATATGCATCACTGACTTAATGTACCAAGCATTTTTTTAATGATCCATTATTTGATTTAGTTTAAAATTTGTCTGTTTCTGTAATTTTGGTCTTATCCCTTGCCTCACTGGTTATTATTTTGACCTACTTCACTACATGTTTGTCAAGGTTGGTTCTTTGCTGAAGGCTCTGTTTCATTACTGAAGGCTCTGTTTCATTAGCAAAGAGTTCAACAAAGCTTCAAATGTCTCGTTTAAAAAAAAAATCTCATAAGAGTTTAACAAACTCTCTTTGTCAACCTTAAATAATTTCCTGTTCCTTTCTTATCGAATTTCTGTAAATAAACTCTGTTTTTACTTTAGATTAAAAAGTTATCAAGACTCTCCCTGCAACATATATTTCTCATTGCATATACTCATTGGATTATAATTATTTTGGTTCATGTTGTTAAGGCTGTGCTCACAAGATTAAACACCGTAACTGGAGTTGCTTATAAGGATGACCCTACAATTTTTGCATGGGAGCTGATTAATGAGCCCAGAAGCCCTTCAGATTTGTCAGGAAAAAGCATTCAGGTTAGCCGAAGTTGCATCTTTCAGTCAGAAGTTCATGTTTGCATTTCTAAAGTATTCGCAAGCATTTGTGGTGCTTAGTTATTACCTTATAACAATTCAAAATTTGAAGCTAGTCCTCTTTTGTTTAACTTCGTTATTGTATCTAATAGTCATGGATCACAGAAATGGCTTCTCATGTGAAGTCCATAGACAGCAATCACTTGCTAGAAGCTGGCCTTGAAGGATTCTATGGCCCCTCTTCATCTCAAATGAACCAACTCAATCCCGGCTTTCAAGTAGGAACTGATTTTATCTCCAACAATCAGATCCCAGAAATCGATTTCGCCACTCTTCACTCGTATCCCGACCAATGGTAATAGCAACACAAACATGTACCGCATCTTTATACAAATATAACAGGAAGCTCATGCAAACTTAGTAGATTGAGGGCTCTACCTACCGACCTTTTTATCTCTTGGATTTCCTCTGATAATGCGTGGTGATGTGTGATGTGTACATCACAATTTGCATCTCAGAGGCAATCCTGATGCGTATCACACAACATCAATACGCATGTGAAAGCAAACCTAAAGAGAATAAAAATTAGTGGAAAAAGCTCTCGGTCCACTTAGGCTTACAACTAAAAATTTCATTAATGGATAAAGAGAGAGAAAGAGAACGGTGAGGAAGAGTGGGCCCCTATATTTGCCACTAATTCTTTCTCTTCACCCTCACCTCCCCCAGCAAACCCAGTCTACAAATAATACTCATGAAATTTATGTTCAGGTTATCCAACACAAGTGATCAGCAACAACTGGTGTTTCTAAACACATGGCTCGACACGCACGTAGAAGATTCCAGAAACATACTCAAGAAACCATTGTATTTGTCAGAGTTTGGGAAATCGTGGAAGGACCCTGGATATAACAGCTCACAGAGAGACGCGATGTTCAATACTGTGTATAATAAAATCTATGTATCGGCCAGAACTGGAGGAGCTACTGCTGGTGGGCTTTTCTGGCAACTTTTGACACCAGGGATGGATAGTTTCAGAGATGGGTATGAGATTGTTCTCGATGAGAATTCGTCGATCAGTAGAGTTATAACAGTTCAGAGTAGAAAACTTCACTCTCTTGGCAAGTTTCATGCCAGGATGAAGAAGGTAAAGGGAGAGTAGGAAGTAATAACGTTGAATGTTGTTGTGACGAGTAGGATGGGGTAGGTATAATTCTAGTGTGTTGGTGTTTTCTGTGAGATGTTTGAGATTTCATCCAAGAGAAGCACTTTGTACTACTTTCAGATCTCAATGATGTATGATATGCAGATGTTTGAGTGAAGAAACTTTTTGTTTGTTTTTTAATTTTTGTGGGTATGAAGTGATTTGTTGCGTATCTTCTCTTATATGAAGACAATAATTATAAACAAAATAATGTTGGGAATCACGTGAGAGTGTGAAGTGTTTGAAGGGGAGGCCCACCCATGTGTGTGAAAAAGCGGAAGAAAGGCAGCAAAATTGGTTGAAAGGAAAAATGTCCAGCGGATCTTGCCATGGGATTTGATTGACCGCGTGAAAGGAAAATGTCCAGCGGTTTGTGATGTTGGCCCACCCGATTTTCTCCTCCCTCCTATAAATAACAACTTGATTTTTTAGCCTAGGTTAGCGTGCGAAGGAGGGGTGTGCAAGGCTGCGGCAGAAAGAGAAGTGCAGAGGGTTTGTACAGGAGAAAAAAAAAGTCGGCTGTTTTCTTTGGCAGCGTGCAAGACAGGGTGCAGGCAGACAGCAAAAGAATTTCGGTGGCTGTGCAGAGGCAGGGTTTTCTTGGCTACGTGTAACAAGAAAACAAAGGCTTTTTTGGCTCCTTTGTGAGAGAAAATTATGTGAGGGTTTAGATTGAGTGATTATAAACCCTAGTTGTATTCTCTCTCTCTAATAGTAGATCTCCCCCTTCCTTGCCCCGTGGACGTAGGCAGTTTGCCGAACCACGTAAAATTGGTTTGTTTGTGTTTATGGCCATTGTAATAGTTTTTAGGATCCCTCGACAAGTCAGTCCTAGAACTGATTAGAGGAAGAGCCGATATTTCACATTGTTGAGATATTCACTTCAGATTCTTGTCTCCTTGGTGAGACGGAAATTCTTATTGGGATCTTTCTCTCTTATTGTGCATCAGAAACTCTGCCGAAATTTCCGCTGCGCACAACAAGTGGTATCAGAGCTCGGGCTACGCTTAGGCTATTTGGAGGAGTAGATCAATTTGAAAGCTCGTCTAGGGCTTTAATTGGTGATAAAGGTGGGATCTTTTGGTAAAGACTCTATCTTTTTAGTTTTGGATCTATTCTTCGTTCGTTCGTGCGTTGCGAAAGATGTCGGGGAAAAAAGGTGCTTCGGGTGTCGAGGGTGGTGCTTCTGGCGCGAAGACCATTCAGAGTTTGAATATCCACTCTATGAAGATAGATGTGAAGAAATTTAATGGCACAAACAACTTTGGATTATGGAGATGCGATGTTTTGGATGCGCTGAACGCGCAGAATTTGGAGGATACCTTGGAGTTAGATGGCAAGCCAGATGAGATTGAAGAGAAGGTTTGGAAGAAGATGAATCGAACGGCGTGTGGTGTGATTAGGTCTTGTTTGACTCAAGATCTAAAATATGATGTGATGAATGAGACTTCTGCAAAGAAGATTTGAGAGATTCTCGAAAGCAAGTATCTGACAAAGAGTGTTGAGAACCGCTTGCATTTGAAGAGAAGACTTTATCGTTTCCAGTTGAAGAAGGGAACCTCAATTAAAGATCACATGAACCACTAAACGAAGCTTCTTTCGGATTTAACGAACGTGGATGTTATGATTAAAGATGAGGACAAGGCATTGTTGCTATTGAGTTCCTTGCCCGACGAGGAATATGAGACATTCGTCCTTACTCTTATTAATGGGAAGGCATCCCTTTCGTATAGTGAGGTCACTGCTGCACTAGTGAATTATCAGCTTCGGAAGAAGGATAAGGAGACTTCGACTGAATCGGTAGCAGAGGCGGAAGGGTCCAAACCGAAAGAATTGGAAGTCACAATCTAGAGTAGGACATCCTACAATTGGAAAAGATCAGTGTGCTTGGTGCAAGAAGACTGATCATTGGAAGAAAGACTACCCAAAGCTCGACGAATGGATGAAGAATAAGCAGAAGGGAAAAGGGAAGCAACCATCATCAGAAGCAAACATCATGTCGGATGGTAATAATTCTGACTCTTCTATTTATTCGCTTTTTATCAGTCCTACATGTAACTATTCGGAGGAATCCGAGTAGATGTTGGATAGTGGTGCGACCTATCATGTGTGCCCTAGAAGGGAATGATTCTCCAGTTTTAAGAAGCTGGATAGTGATGTGGTGTACATGGCTGATAACCGTGCATGCCAGATCCTTGGGATAGGAAGAATTCGCATCAAGATGTTTGACGTGAATGTTAGGGAATTAAATGATGTGAGATATGTTCCTTCTTTGAGGAAGAACTTGGTCTCGATTGGAGCTTTGGTTGGAGAGGGTCTGAATGTTCGAATTGAGGACATGGTTCTCAAGATTATAGAAGACTCTCAGATTGTGATGAAGGGCGTCAGGAGGAATAACCTGTATTACTTGACTGGAGGTATAGTGGCAGGTGAAGAACTGGCGACTTCTATTGATTCGACTAGACTGCGGCATTTGGGACTTAGCCATTCCAGTATTGATTCCTCGCATGGATTGAAAGAGGGTGCGAAGACCTGCAGTTTGAAGTCCAGTGAACATGTTGATGTGAGCAAGAAGACCGAGGTGAAGTTTGGCACCTCTATTCACTGTGCTAAGGGTCGTTCTGAAGGAGTTCACGTGGATGTTTGGGGGCCTTCCAAGGGGGCATCATTGGGAGGTAACAGGCGTTTGGTTTCCTTTGTTGGTGACTGTTCTAGGCGTGTTTGGGTTACAACCAAATCCCCTTTGGAGAAAGTCCTAGTAGTATCCAGCAGATTGAAGAAGTGTGTGATAGACAGAAAGGTGAATGTACTCCATTCTGGTTTTGGTAGAAGATACAAGATGGACCTATTTTTATATTGGAGCCGAGCTCACGACATTTTGAGACACTTCATTGAAAAGGAAATCTTGGGGGCAACTAGATAGGGTGACAAATTTGGAAAACCGTACCTTGCTGGAGGAGGATCGGTGTTTGTGATCGAGCAATGGTTTGCAGAAGAGGTTCTGGATTGAGGCTTCGACATATTTGAGTCATCCTATTAAAGAGTTATCAACTGCTGTGATTGGAGATAAAACTCCATTGGAAGATAGGTCTGGTAGTGTCACTTTGGTTGAGGCTTCGATGAGGGAGCTAATTGACTCTCAGCAGGTGGAGAGTTTTGAACAGACCTTAGAGGTATCGCAGCGGGTGGAGAGTGATGCTACTCCACATTGGGTGAAGATTACTCCAGATCATACTGTATCATTTGGGATTCTAGCTGAGGTGACACAGATTCGGGATCAATAGGTTTTGGATGCAGATGATGAGTTGGATTTTGATTCGAATGCAGCTGGTAGACGTAGTTTGGATATGGTCATTGGTTCGCCTCAGGTGGAGGTGTTTGAGGCCATTGGAGATGCTATCAGCCGCAGAGTTGATGATATTGGAGAAGGGTTGCGAACTCTTCTATTGGATTGAGGTCGTTCGCGACCATTTGGATGAACTACGTTCGGCTTGATTCCTTGGGCAAGAGGATAAGTAGGCAGTCTTTATGATGCAGCCGGGTTAGATTTTGATGGGGTGAGATCGATTTGGTGAGTTGATACCGACATTTGGAGAGTGTTTGCACTCTCATTTTGGTTCTCGACTTGTTATGGATTGAGTCCGTTGTCGTGAATTGTTTCACTTCATACTGGACGTAACAAGTGAGACATTTAGTTTGGTTGGTGTCGGCTCAGTTTTGGAAGAAACTTCGCCAAGGTGGAGAATTGTTGGGAATCGCGTGAGAGTGTGAAGTGTTTGAAGGGGGGCCCACCCATGTGTGTGAAAAAGCGGATGAAAGGCAACAAAATTGGTTGAAAGGAAAAATATCCAGCGGATCTTGCCTTGGGATTTGATTGACCGCGTGAAAGGAAAATGTTCAGCGGTTTGTGATGTTGGCCCACCCGATTTTCTCCTCCCTCCTATAAATAACAACTTGATTTTTTAGCCTAGGTTAGCGTGCGAAGGAGGGGTGTGCAGCATAAGGGAAAGCATTGAATTTAGGAGCAATACTAGAATCATAGCCTAAACAAGATGCATCATTCATATTCATAATTTGTAAAAATATGCAAGCAAGATGCAAATGCAATCAAAACAAGATTAGCACAAAAAGATAACTTGGATCTTTAACTCAAGGCGATTAGACCTTAAATCAAAGAGCACCAAGCTCTGATACCAATTGTTAGACCCTAGAGGGGGGGTGATTAGGGTCTTATGCTAATCTAATCCGATTAAATGCCAATTAAAATTAATTAACAAGTTATCCTAGCAAGTATGAAATACCACAAGAATTATGAGCTAGGATAAGCAATGTAAACAATGAGATATATCCTATATGATGAAATATATATGTATGCAAGGATATATAAACTAACACAAGGGGTAAACAATGTGAACTAGATAGTGGATCATATAAATAATGAGCTAATGACAATGGCGATAAGAAATATAAACACAAGTATAAATAAACGCCAAAGCACACTCAAACACAAGATATGATCACGGAGTTCGGACCTTCCGTCCTACGTCTCCGCTCCCCACTCCCGGGGAGAAATCCACTAACACAATCCGGTTTGGAAGCCGGAACTTCTTCTACACACTCGGTTTTCTAGCTAACCGAAAACTCTACAACTCACACTCTTGCAATCACACTCTACACCCACTAAGTGTTGGACCTAGCCGTGTCTCCCTCAAGTGCTCGGTTACAACCTCTCCCTAGGCACGTCAACCGACGCCACTCCTCTTGGGACGATCCCCGACTCTCACCACACACTCCTCACTCGGTGTACAAGTGTATTACAAAGTGATTCTCACAATAAGCACAAATATGACAAATGATTGTTCTCAAAACAAGGTGAGAACTCAATTAAGCACAACTCTTAGTCACAAACCCACAACCCCAAATTATACTATGAATGTAAATACAATAAGCTCAATAGGTTGTGTGTGAACAAAGAGTATCAATAAAACAATTAAACTAAACTCAAATATAAATCTAGCTTATGGAAATTATAATCAAAATAATAAATTGCTAGATGAGTTTAGAAACACTTCTCTAAAGATGACAAGAGAGTAGGAGAAGAGTGAATGCTCAAACACCAAAGGATGATCTCCACTTGCTCTTGTGAAATTGAATTCACAAACTCAAACCCTCAATTGCTTAAAAGCTTCTTAAACCAAACTTAAACAAACACTAAACATCGGTCGACCGGCAGAGAGCAAAAGCACGAAGAAGAGTTCTGGACCTTCGTCGGTCGACCGGTGCGGTCGACCGATGGAGTTTTTCGGTCGACCGGACCGGTCGACCGACAGACTCTCTGTCGCCCAGTGAGAATATGAACTCATGTTCGGTCGACCGGTGCGGTCGACCGAAATCTGACATATTCAAAAACTGTTTTGCTGATTTTAAAACCCTGTTTAAAAATATCAAATAAATTCAGAAAAATGTAAAACTTTGGGGAATGATTGTAGACATGATAATACACATGCTACAAAAACTGGTTTTCTAAAAAGACTTCCCAAATGAGAAATATCATCATTTTGCAAAATAGTCCAAAACATGAAAATGTAAACATATGAATCTTGACATTTTAGCTTAACCATGTTTTGAAATATTACAAAATGATTTTGTAGACTTAATAAAAGATGTATATGATTATTGTTAAGTCTATAAACCAAGAAAACAATATTTTCACAAATACAATAGAAAGTAAAACGTATGAGTATGTATATGAAAATATATTTGTTTCATATCTATGAAATTAAACCAAAACAACTTATCCACATAGAAAACAAGCATGTATACACATTTTTTGGAATTTATTTGTAAAAACTTTGTTTGTGGATAAAACTAAAAACCAAGATGTATATGTATATAACTATATATATATATACTAAGAAACTAATAAATGTGTGTGTGAATATAATATTGAGCTTAGAGTATATAACACACATAATATAAACCTATACTAAATATACCCAAGCTTGATCTTGATCTTCATTGAAGCTCAACTTGGTACACATGCGGATGAAGCTTGAACTTGATCTTTAATTCCGCTAACCTCCATTGGATATGATCGTTGAAGCTCTATTCCATCCATCCTCCAACAACGTTGTTTGTCTACAATAAATACGAAAACACAAATACTAGACAAACAACATTAGTGGTAAATTGTTTGTTAAACATCATCAAAACAAGAAGGCCAACAGTTTGTACAGGAGAAAAAAAAGTCGGCTGCTTTCTTTGGCAGCATGCAAGACAGGGTGCAGGCAGAAAGCAAAAGAATATCGGTGGCTGTGCAGAGGCAGGGTTTTCTTGGGCTACATGTAACAAGAAAATAGAGGCTCTTTTGGCTCCTTTTGAGAGAGAAAATTGTGTGAGGGTTTAGATTGAGTGATTGTAAACCCTAGTTGTATTCTCTTTCTCTAATAGTAGATCTCCCCCTTCCTTGCCCCGTGGACGTAGGCAGTTTGCCGAACCACGTAAAATTGGTTTGTTTGTGTTTGTGGCTATTGTAATAGTTTTTAGGATCTCTCGACAAGTCAGTCCTAGAACTGATGAGAGGAAGAGCCAATATCTCACATTGTTGAGATATTCACTTCAGATTCTTGTCTCCTTGGTGAGACGAGAATTCTTATTGGGATCTTTCTCTCTTATTGTGCACCAGAAAGTCTACCAAAATTTTCGCTGCGCACAACAAATAATTCACCAACTCGAAGTCTTGGAACATAAATTATAATCTCCAAACGGAAATTGTGATTCAACAATTTATGGGTAGGGGGAAAAATGAAATAAACAACACAAAATTCCATTAATGGATCAGATGGAACTGCGTACGCTATAGATGTAATCAAATGTGGATATCGTTAAGAAAATGTTTCCGTGATGCTTGTACAAAAAACTGTAGATACCTGTCATCTGTCCTGACTAATACCAAGTATCACTCTTCGAATCAAATCATAGTATCCATGTTGTATATCATAGTTTTGTTGTCTGCTCGCATTTCCTGCACTCTTCCTTTTACCTTTGGCCTTCAAAAGAGTCAAACAGATATGCAATACAATAAAGTTTCTTTAAATTGTTATTCGCTTCTGAAAGAAACTAGTCTCTATAAAATTTTCAGAAGGGAAAAAGAAAAAAAGCAATGAAGAGAAGCAATACGAGCAAAGGAACATAATCTTATCACGGGCCTTAATTTGTGCTGCATATCCTTTTATCAATATGGTTCTTAAGGTACATTACATTGATTTTATCCAGTTTGTAATACAAAAATGTATATTTCTTCAGTTATATTTTTCACACAGATAAGAGGAAGAGAGAACAGTTACATCACTCTTCAAGATGCTCTCTCAAAGATCATCTCAGCACCATCTCTGGGTCTTGGATGTGGTTGGAATGCCGTGCCAGCGTCTGGATTCAAAAGCTTCCATCTGCACACAAATAAAACCTAATAAATGTCCACACAAAAAAATATACCCTTAGGTGGAACTCTCTTAATGGTTTTCCTGAGAAGTCTCAAAAACAATTTCCAAATTATCTAAGGGCTTGTTTTGTTAGATTTAATCTAATAAATCTATTTGTGGGCACATATGATTAATCAATGTGTATTGCTATCTTTCAGGATAACCCACTAAAGTGATCAATTAAGTTGGGTTAATTTGGTATTTAAATAAGTCATGGGGTTATATGTGCAGATACCAGGTTGTAATTGTAATTTATTGAGAAGCTAAATTACAAAAGTACAACATCTATAAATAAGGGGTTATGGTCCCTAACCTAGGGTTACATTCTCTAATTCTCTTCACCCCCATCTAAGAGAGAAATTCGGCTAGAGAGAACCCTAAGGTTAGAAGATCAAAACCCATCTCAAGATCAAGTAATGGATTCAGGTATAAGCTTCCGCTCTTTAGATTTTTTGTTAATCTCTTTGAATTAATCATGGCTATATGGTTTTAGATCTCAAGTTTTGGTGTAGATCCAACAAGTGGTATCAGAGCCACCTTGATTAATTCTTAGGGATTTAAGTTTTATTGGGTTTTTTGATCTTAAATCTCTAGTTAAAGATTCAATTTTTTGTTCTCGGATGAACAGTAATGGTCGGTGAACAGTAGCGAAAAAAAATTTTCGGTTGAACAGTAAAGTATTTTTTCGGATGAACAGTAACTTTTTAGAATTTTTTGGATTTTTCTTTAATTTTTCCAATTCTGGATCTGTTTTGAAAATAAAAATCAAAGATTTTTGGGTTTGTCGGCGGCGGTTTTTTCGGTTGAACAGTAAAGTATTTTTTCGGATGAACAGTAACTTTTTAGAATTTTTTGGATTTTTCTTTAATTTTTCCAATTCTGGATCTGTTTTGAAAATAAAAATCAAAGATTTTTGGGTTTGTCGACGGCGGTTTCTACCTCAAATTTTGGCGAAGCGGTAAGCTTCAAACGAACCTCGCGTTCGTTCAATTTTAACCGAGCTTCGCGCTCAACGAACCTCGCGTTCGTTCTAAAGTGAACCTCGCGTTCAACTCAGGTGAGCGTCAAGCTCAATTTTAACGAACCTCGCGTTCGTTCTAAGGTGAACCTCGCGTTCAACTCAGGTGAGCGTCAAGCTTAATTTTTTAACGGTACTTCAGACGAACCTCGCGTTCGTGCTTCAGTCGAGCCTCGCGTTCGAACTTCAGACGAACCTCGCGTTCGTACTTCAGACGAACTTCGCGTTCGAACTTCAGACGAACCTCGTGTTCATTTTTAAACGAACCTCGCGTTCGTTCCCAAGTTGAACCTCGCGTTCTTTTATTAAACGAACCTCACGTTCGTTCATTTTCAGACGAACCTCGCGTTCGTGCTTAAGTGAGTCTAGTACTCAATACAGTCGAACCTCGCGTTCGAAGTTAAGGGAACTTCGTGTTCATTATGGTTAAGTCTCGGCTTTTCATGGGTCCACTTTGGTATACTTAATTTATTCAATTAAGTTATGGGCCCTAATTAAGCTGTGAGACCCCAATTAAGTTTTTGGAAATTCAGTTGATTTAAATTTTTTAATTTAAATCTAATTCGGTTTTTAATCAATTATTTAATTCAAATATTATGACACTAAGGTATTAAGGTTGTCTCTCACTCCAATTGATTAATTGAAACAAGAAGTTGCCAAAGTAACCTCTCTTGTGTAGATTGTTCATGAGGAATGTGAGATGTTTGTGTGTATGCTTTCGTGTAAATATTTAATCGGCCCAAAGGAAGGTTAATATTTATTTAGACTGTATACACATCTGCGATGATAAGCGTGTGACAATTATAAGGTTTACATGTGAATAATGAATCGATCCAAAGATAGTTTCATTATTTGACATGAGTTATTGTCAATGTTTGATCATTGCAACAAGGTATCACTTACAAGTTAATATTACTGTCCAAAGACTTGATATTAATGTTGTGCCGGTATCTTGGATGGGGATTGTCATTATTTGAATTTTATTGATTATGGTTATTGATGTGAGCATTTTTGTTTTATTTCAGCTAATGCATCTGCTGCAACAATTTCTGCTAACATCAACTCAATTCCCATGCTAAATGGGACAAACTTCAAGGTTTGGAAAGAGAACATATTAATTGTTCTTGGCTGCATGGATCTTGACTATGCATTAAGAACTGAACAACCCCAACCTCTCAATGCGGATAGCACTCCTGATGCAAAGAAGGAGCATGAGAAGTGGGAGCGTTCAAATCGCATGAGTCTTATGATCATTAAGCGCGGCGTTCCGGAAGCCTTCAGGGGCATAGAATCCGAAGGGATTACTAAGGCTAAAGATTTCCTTGCCGAAATTGAGAAGCGTTTTGCGAAAAACGATAAGGTAGAAACAAGCACGCTTTTAGCTCGCTTGATTTCAATGAAGTATAAGGGCAAAGGAAATATCAGGGAGTACATTATGGAAATGTCTCATATTGCTTCAAAGCTTAAGGCACTTAAACTCGATCTTTGTGACGAGTTATTAGTGCATCTGGTTTTGTTGTCTCTTCCTGCACAGTTTAACCAATTTAAGGTCAGTTATAACTGTCAAAAGGAGAAATGGACTCTAAATGAGCTCATTTCATACTGTGTGCAAGAAGAAGACAGGTTGAAGCAAGATAAGACAGAAAGTGCTCATTTGGCCTATGCCTCTAAGGATAAGGGCAAGAAAAGGAAGAATGATAAGGAAGCTGCTAAGGGTCCAGTTGAGAAGAAACAACATAAGGATAATCAGGGTTGTTTCTTCTGTAAGAAGCCTGGACATGTAAAGAAGGACTGTACAAAATATCACGCCTGGCGTGATAATAAGGGTACGTTCCTTGCTTTGGTCTGTTCTGAGGTTAATTTAGCTTCAGTACCTAGAAACACTTGGTGGTTAGACTCTGGTGCTACTACTCACATAAGTGTTTCTATGCAGGGTTGCCTGAGCTACCGAAAGCCAAGTGATGTTGAAAGACACATCTTTGTGGGCGACGGACAATCGGTAGATGTGGAAGCAATTGGGCACTTTAGGTTGTTGTTAGGAACTGGTTATTATTTGGATTTAAAAGATACTTTTGTAGTACCGTCTTTTAGACGGAATTTGGTTTCTGTTTCTGTATTGGACAAATCAGGTTATTCTTGTTCATTTGGAAACAGTCAATTCAGTTTATCTTTTAATTCAAATGTTGTGGGAACCGGTTACTTGAGTATTTATGACAACCTATATTTGCTTGATACAATTGCTTCTTACAATGAATCCTTGCATGTGGAATCACGTGGTACTAAGCGTAAATTAAATAAGGAAAATTCGGCGACATTATGGCATAAGCGCTTAGGTCATATCTCAAAAGGTAGAGTTGAGCGTCTTGTGTCTGATGGCATTTTGGATTCCCTTGATTTTTCGGACTTCGACGTATGTGTTGAATGTATCAAGGGAAAACAGACCAAAGTGAAAAGATTAGGTGCCAACAGATCTTCGGATGTCTTAGAATTGATACATACGGATATTTGTGGGCCATTCCCTACGGAATCCTGGAATGGTCAACAATATTTTATATCATTCATAGACGATTACTCACGTTATGGGCACCTATATCTTATTCATGAAAAATCTGAGTCTCTGGACATGTTCAAAGCCTATAAAGCTGAAGTTGAGAATCAACTCAACAGAAGAATTAAAACCGTCAGATCTGATCGTGGTGGTTAGTACTACGGTAGATATGATGGTTCAGGTGAACAACGTCCAGGACCATTTGCTAGATACCTAGAGGAATGCGGTATCGTCCCACAGTACACTATGCCGGGTTCACCTAGCATGAATGGTGTAGCTGAAAGACGAAACAGGACTCTTAAGGATATGGTAAGAAGTATGATTGCTCATTCTTCTTTACCAGAGTCACTCTGGGGAGAAGCACTTAAGACAGCAGCTTACATTCTGAATAGAGTACCAAGTAAAGCAGTTGCTAAAACACCTTATGAGCTTTGGACTGGTCGAAAGCCCAGTTTAAAGCATTTACATATTTGGGGATGTCCAGCTGAGGCAAGGCCTTATAGGCCGAATGAAAAGAAATTAGACTCCAAAACAGTTAGCAGCTACTTTATTGGATACTCTAAACGCTCTAGGGGTTATAAGTTTTATGATCCCACTATAAGGAATATTTTTGAGACGGGAACAGCAACATTCTTTGAGGATGTTGAGTTTGGGGGAAGAAATAAGGTTAGAGACATTAGTTTTGAGGAGGAATTGGCTTCAGATCCAATCCATACAGTTACTTTTGACAATATTCAGGTTCCTATACCTGTTGTTGCTCAAGAAGTAAATCCGGAACCTCAAGATGATAATGTTGAACAACTCCCTGTTCCAGAAGAACAAACTCAACAACCTCAAGAACCAGTGCCATTAAGGAGATCCACGAGAGAAAGGAGAAATGCTATTCCGGATGATTATATTGTATTTCTCCAAGAACATGAGGAAAGTAGTGGAATGTTAGAAGATGATCCAATCAACTTCTCTCAGGCCATGAAAAGTTCTAACTCTCAACAGTGGATTGATGCCATGAATGAAGAGTATAAGTCTATGCAAGACAATAAGGTTTGGGAACTTGTCCCATTGCCAGAAGGTGCAAAACCAATTGGTTGTAAATGGATTTTTAAAACCAAGCGGGATGCAAACGGTAATGTGGAGAGGTATAAGGCGCGTCTTGTGGCTAAAGGCTATACTCAAAAGGAAGGCATTGATTATACAGAGACTTTCTCTCCGGTTTCATCGAAAGACTCTTTCAGAATAATCATGGCACTTGTTGCTCATTATGATCTTGAGTTACATCAGATGGATGTTAAGACTGCATTTCTCAATGGAGACATTGATGAGATGATTTATATGGTGCAACCAGAAAACTTTGTGTCAGGAGACCCAAAGAATATGGTTTGCAAATTAAGGAAATCCATCTATGGACTCAAGCAAGCTCCTCGTCAATGGTATCATAAGTTTCAACAAATAGTTATCTCGTTCGGTTTTGAGATGAACATTGTTGATGACTGTGTATATCACAAGTTCAGTGGGAGTAAGTATATTTTTCTGGTTCTGTATGTGGATGACATCTTGCTTGCCACTAATGATATAGGCATGTTGCACGAAACCAAGAGATTTCTATCAAAGAATTTTGAGATGAAAGATCTTGGGGACGCCTCTTTTATATTAGGGATCCAGATACATCGAGATCGCTCTCGGGGTATTCTTGGATTATCACAAAAGAGCTATATCGATAAGGTACTTAAAAGGTTTGGCATGCAAGATTGCAGACCAGGTGACACCCCTGTTGCTAAAGGAGACAAGTTTAGTCTCAATCAGTGCCCTAAAGGTAACCTTGAAATTCAGGAAATGCAGAAGATTCCTTATGCTTCGGCTGTAGGAAGTCTAATGTATGCTCAGGTATGTACGCGTCCGGATATTGCGTACATTGTTGGGATGTTAGGCAGATACTTAAGCAATCCTGGTATGGATCATTGGATAGCAGTCAAAAGGGTTATGAGGTATCTTCAGAAAACAAAAGATTACATGCTCACATACAGAAAATCAGAGAAATTAGAGGTCATTGGGTATTCGGACTCTGATTTTGCTGGATGCCAAGATAGCAGGAAGTCTACATCAGGCTACATTTATATGTTAGCAGGAGGAGCTATATCATGAAAAAATGTCAAACAAACACTAGTAGCTTCCTCCACTATGACAGCAGAATTTGTACCTTGCTATGAGGCATCCAATCAGGGAATATGGTTACGAAATTTTGTCACTGGACTGCACATTTTGGAAAATATTGAAAGACCACTAAGGTTATATTGTGACAATAAATCTGCAGTAATGTATTCCAATAACAACAGGAGCTCAACTAAGTCAAAACATATTGACATTAAGTTCCTGGTTGTGAAAGAAAGGGTACAGAGTGGACAGATATCCATAGAGCACATTGGGACAAACTCCATGTTAGCTGATCCTCTTACTAAGGGATTGCCACCTAAGGTCTTTCATGAGCATACTGCTCATATGGGTGTGGTATTATTTGAGGATATTATGTTTTAGTGGGAGTTTGTATTTGTGGTGCTTTATGTTTGTTTGTATTGTCTGATCAGAATAAAGTTTTCAGTTAAGACACTCTGTTACATTATGTTTGGTTTTGACCTCACTAAGGAGGACCAGTTGAAAATAGACATGTACTGATCACATTGCATGTAATTTTCATGCTGCACATCCATGATTGATCTATGTCGTTTGATTGTATTGGTATATGTGACCATTGATGGGTCGAGTCACGATAAATGTGACGAAGGCCGCTTTGATCCTATATTGATATAGTCAATGGACGAGATTGTTCGGAAATACCTTTTCAGTGATAGCAATTTTTGAGCTCATAAGGTTATACACAATTTAAGGAATCATATGGTGCCCAAGTGGGAGATTGTTGGATTTAATCTAATAAATCTATTTGTGGGCACATATGATTAATCAATGTGTATTGCTATCTTTCAGGATAACCCACTAAAGTGATCAATTAAGTTGGGTTAATTTGGTATTTAAATGATCATGGGGTCATATGTGCAGATACCAGGTTGTAATTGTAATTTATTGAGGGGCTAAATTACAAAAGTACAACATCTATAAATAAGGGGTTATGGTCCCTAACCTAGGGTTACATTCTCTAATTCTCTTCACCCCCATCTAAGAGAGAAATTCGGCTAGAGAGAACCCTAAGGTTAGAAGATCAAAACTCATCTCAAGATCAAGTAATGGATTCAAGTATAAGCTTCCGCTCTTTAGATTTTTTGTTAATCTCTTTGAATTAATCATGGCTATATGGTTTTAGATCTCAAGTTTTGGTGTAGATCCAACATGTTTGTCTCCATGGAATCATTAGGATTTCATGGAAAAATAAATCCCAGGAATTATACTTCTGTCAGAACCAAATTCCTGTATCAAAATTTCTTGTTTGTTTTGAGGGAAAGTTTATTAGGAAGAGTTACAGGATTGCTGCCACATTACTGAAATACTTGATTACAAATCCTCCCCTCACGAGGATTAGGGAGATGATGTGAAAAATGGAACCCACATTTAACTTTTTCATCGAACTTTCCATGCAAATAAACAAAAACAAAAAATTTGGAAAAAAAGTTTGGGGTTCTAATGAAAGTTGATTTTCTCAGATATCCAAACCTCTTATTCTCAGCCACGCAACCCCTAAGTAACTTACATTACCATAATTTATGTTTTTTATACTACATGCTGGTTTGATATCAAGGTATGTTAACTTCTTTTTGTGATTCCTTGTCCCGCTTTGTACTAGTTTCGTTATTACATTGATAACATCATAGAACGTATGTTTAGAGCTTTATATTTAAGACTACAATGCTCTTCCAAGCTCTATAACTAGTGACGGAGCATGAACATTTGGCATCGTAGATCAGACTGCACCTTTCTCACAATTCAAAAACCAGCATTTTCATTTCTATACTTTCAACAGACTGCATTCGTGTTGGGACATAACTTACCGATACTTGAGGCATGCATGATATAGGAACATCATCACTTGGACCCTTGCAAAGTTGTTGCCTGGACAATATCTCAGTCCTGCCCCAAACACCGAGTAAGTTCCAGCTTTTGGTCTGAAATTCTGCATTTCATCATTTATAGTTATTTTTTGTTTACTTTTACGAAGGGAAGCCTAACTGGTAAATTTGTACATGGCCTTCTTAAGAGATCGAGTTGTATAGTAGAGGGTAAAGAAATACATACATCCCATCTGTCTGGATTGAAAGTTAACGGATCAGAGAAGTATCTAGGATCAAGGTGCATGGAACGGATCCATACCAGAACCCTCCAGTTCCTAGGAAGCTTGTAACCTGTTGTGTTACGAAGATAAAAACAAGTTACAAACAGAGGTGGTATGATCTAAGTTACTATCCGCAATAATTTTCTTCCTAAAAAGAAAATTTTCATACTTACCATTGATAACTACATCATCTCTTGCAACTGTTCTGAATATAAAAGGTGAAACGTTTGCTAGGCGAATTAGTTCCTCGGCCACCATTGACGCATATTTCATACTTTTGATATCTTGAGCTGTAAGAATCTCATCCTTAGACTTCTGCTTCTGTATCTGTCTTGTTTCTTCCTGTATTAGAATGAAAGAACCCAATCAAATCTGCAAACAATCCCCTGTTTAGAGAAGAAGAAAAAAAGCTAAGAAAGCATTCTTCACCTTCAGCTTCTCAAGTATCTCTGGGTACTTAGCCAAATAGAATAAACCCCATGTCATTACATTGGATGTAGATTCATAACCGCCCAAAATTAATGAAACGATGTTCTCCATAACCTCCACTTCGTTCAATTTATTCCCATTCTCATCAACTGAATCTATAAGGATTTGCAAGAAATCATGTTTTTGGATTCCATGCTCTTTCCTATCCCTGACCTCTTTCAATAAGATGTTGGACAGTTTCTTCCTGCACTGAGAATTGCACACCGCAGGAGAAAAAAAATAAGAAAAGAAAATAATATCTTCCTCTATAGTTTCATTTTAGTCCACATTTTTATTTGCAACACAAAGAAATCCCAAATTCAAAGAGATAATAAAATTTGGGCTTCAATAAATAAAGAATTTTTTTTCTGCTACCTTTAAAGCATGATGGTATGCTGTTCCAGGAATCTTGATTCTCATTGATCGGAGTCCACCCATGAGTCCCCTATACATAGATTCCATAGTATCTAGAAGTTCTTTTGACTTGAAGCTGACAAGAACTTCACATATGTTGCGAAATGTCATCTGAAAGAGAAATATTCATTTACAAAGGTGCATTTAGTAAAGCATTCTCTCACAGAAAGCTTCCTCAGCTATTGATATTAGATATGATAACAGTCAACTTTCAATTCAGATTGGTAAACCTATAGTTGTAGACAATGACAAGAGCATCATACTCCAATATGTATAAAAAACATGTTAGCAGAGAATGTCAAAAATCCAGGACAAGCCAACAGGTATACAGTGCATATTCTTTTGGATATATGTATCTCTGATTCATAAATTTATGTATTTGCTGTTAGTCATATCTGAAGGAACATAATACAGTGAAATAATCTTCTGAAGTAATAGCTTTCTTCTAATTGAACATTCCATACTTCATTGTGTACATATTCTCAAGGTAAATACTAAATAGTATCTTATCCATTTGAAGTGTTGGATATGGACACCATATTTTTGTTAAATGAGTGTTCTACACGTTGTAGAGAAACATTATGGGCCAAAAATATTTTGTAGAGGAAAGATAAGTAGAAAAGTTTCTTATGGCCCGCTCAGAAAGACGGATCATCAGCATATGACTCAGGTCTTTCAAATCCTAGTGGACTTCTCCATGTGACTACTCAAGTTGTGAAAGTCTCCCATTTTATTTCAAGGAGATACCGTGTTTTTTCTGTTGATATTATGACACTTTCTGGGATCAGGTGTACGTAGTTTCTGGTTCTTCTCCATCATTTTTTCTCTTATAATAATATTAGGTTGAGGATGGGTTAGCCTCTTCTGATTACTACTGTTGGAGCATAGAATTTTAACCCTCAACAAAACTTCAGAGTTTCGTACCTGTGACAGGGTCCTTCGACATTGTATCAGAGCAGTCCAAATTAAATTACCACTACTCACAAATCTAAAGTGGATTTTAAAAAATTGATACTGCTATATGAGTTCAGGTTTCGGCCAATTAAAACAATGCTCAACTTGCAGGCTTATATGTTATAGTGTAAATTATAATCCTCAACCCTCCCCACAACTTTGGAGTTTTGGCATAGTGTCAGAATCCTTTGACAACTTTTATAATCGTAGCTTCACTATATTCTCGTTAATGAAATAGTCGGGCATTATCTTTCAGAAAGAAAAAGCAAACATACAGAGGGCTTCTGTGGAAAATAAAGTGAAATTTAAATTTTAGGGACAGGGATATTTAAGCATGTGGAATCATTGTCATAAAAGGACAGTAGAGTTGGTCATGATTTGTAAGAAAGAGACGCCTGAAGTAAAGCATACAAAATAGAACCTAGTGAGAAGTGAATGAATGTATCATTGACATATACATACAGCTTTGGTCTCATCATAGGCAACTATCTTTCTCTTGGAGGCCCAATCTTCTAAAGCTTGAATAAAAATGGGTTGTGCAGAAGTTAAATGGGAATCAAGGGCTCTTGGGCTGTTGAAAGCTTCAATTAGATGCCTTCTTATCTTCTTGTGCCATAATCCATCAATAGCAACAATGGATGAATTTCCCATTAGCTCAGTGGAAGGCCAACCAGGACCAAAACTCCCATCCTCTGTCTTGCTTCCTAGAATTTGCTTGTTCGACTCAGGGGAGCATGAGACTATTGCCGGGTACCCAAATAAGTGGGTTCTATAGATACCAGTGTCCCCATACCTATATAAGAAATAGCAGAAAGGGGAAAGGTTAGGATCAATACTAAGTATTAGCTGATCAATAATTCGAAAGAAAAATAAAAAAAACTACAGCAGAAATTTATCTGAATTTTATACAAGATGAAGGCACCAAGTGATTTCTATGTTCTCCAAAGACAAGTTGTAGATGCAAAATGCCATGCTATAGAAAACAATTAACATGGAAAAATACTATTCCAACTGCCTCAACTCTGCAATATAGACTTGATCGTCTCTTGAATCACCGTGTCCAAATTGTTCTGATACAGTCCCACTATGTTACAAACTGAAGACGAAAACAAGCAAAGCTCCTCTACTAGTACTAGTTATCACATAGCCACTTAATGATTCTCACAAAAAACAGCGTTAGTGGGCTTCAATACAGTGTCCCAGTTGCAAGTGTGACTTTATAATCATTTCTGGAATGACATTTTAGTGTATACTCAAATAAAAAATCAATGTTCATCATAAATGTTCTATTATAACTTATGAATATAAGCTCTGTAATTTCATCATACAAGCTTCATACTGACAGATATCAAGACATGGATATGACTAAATAACATACTATCACACTCCTAATTCCAAAAGCTTACACGACATAAAATAGAAGTATCATGTCCAATAGGCTCCATATTTGAATTCTCGATGTTACTTACTTACTAATTTGTACTAGAATAAAAAATGACTCGTGTAACTTTTTATTTACACAAGTAAATTTCTCGAATTGCCTCCATTTCGGATCTACATTAAAAGCTAATGTCCATCATAACCTAATCATCAAATCTCAATCAAATTCTCATGAATTACCATCTCTAAAACTTTATTTATTCATCTCACATGAATTAAGACAACAAACATGACTAAATTAAGTAAATTTTTTGTGCCTTTCAGCATTATTTTCTTGACAAAAGTGATTTTTTTTTAAAGAATTTCCTCATTCTCTGACCAACATTCAAGTATAGTTGAAGCGGGAAAAAAAATTCATCATAACCTAAACATTTCCTCTTAATCAAAAACTACTACTCCTAAAACTTTACAAATCCATCCAAATATCAGCATCACTTAAACCTTAACTTTTTTGAAATTCCACCGTTTTCAGACCAACATTCAAGTATATATATTCAAATAAAAGAAATTAAAAAATGGACATTCATCACAACCTAAACATTATAACTCAGCCAGTAACCAACTATTTCTAAAACTTTACTAATTTACTCAAAATGAAAATTAAGTCAAAAGACAATCTTTTATACCTCAACTTTCTTTTGGCAATGAAATCATCAGGCCTCCTCTTGAACTTGAAGCACCACAAGAAATCGAACATCTCCCCCATCAGCGGCCACCCCATCGACGGGGGGAGGGGGCCCGGCGCAGCCGTCGGCCCCGACCGGCCCGCCCACGAACCGCTGCGCCGTGCCGCGCTCCATTTACAACCAGCCCAAGAAGAGCAAAAGATGCGTCAAAAGGCAGCGATTACAGACCCCAACTGCGAGTTCATCCCACCCATCGTGATACGTGAAGGTTACCGCTTGACTTGGATGATGGGTTTTTATATTTTGAGATGGGAGGCGGTGAGTACGCTTGCGATTTGCAGGTAAGGGAGAGTATTTTACCTCATGTCTGAGGATTCGTCTTGCCGTTTTTTTTTCTTTTTTTAATAAATAATCCAGCTCAAAATCAAACCTAAGTTTATGGAATCCGTATTACTACTGTCCAACGGTTCACATCATCTGACATAGGTTATCCTCTTATTTGGACTTTAGTTCTGGACAATTCCATTATTTAATATGGACTTAATAGCATTTTAATACCTTCTACTTTCATCTACTTTGTACATGCATGTCCTGACTTCTTTTTTAAAAGCACTTGTATGCTTTTGAAGTTTCAAAATTTGCACTTCAATATATTTTATTATAAAAACATGAGAATATTCATTGAAAACTCTTCATGTGATATTTACCTTCTAATTTTAGAATATTTTAAATCTTTAGTTTTTTAAAATTAATGTTAAATCTATCGTAATTCTATTTTAATAGAACCGGAGTAGGTTTAAAATACAATTAAGATAGGTTTAACAGTGAAAATAGCAAAAACTAAGGATAAAAGTTTCAGATTAATATATGAGCATCACATGGGGAACTTTTGGAGGTGTTTTCGGAGAAAGTTGCATTCATTGTCGAATTCATTATAATCTGGATCGCTTACAAAGAATTCAAGATATTCAATAAAAAGAATAAGAAAATGAAAGATTACAACTTTTCGAAAATAACGCAAGATCCGTTCGTCGTTTCTTGCTTGCGTGGGTCTTTAGCCGGTGACGGGGACGTTGATATCCGTGGACTACCTGGCAATCAGATCAGGTCCAGAACTTCGTCGATCCGCGAAGGAATCTAGAAGCAGAAGCGCTTATCTCGACAACAGCGAGATAATTGCTCTTCTTAGAATTATCACAACGGGATAATACTAAGGATCGGATGCGGGTGATGCAGATCTGACGACTCTCGATTTCTAGCGTTGAAGAACTCGATCACTCTTCAGTCCGGCAGGGCTTCGTCAATTCTCCAAAACTCCATATCCCAAAAAATGAGGACCCGGGGGCTCTATTTATAGGCTTTACGGACGTCCGGGCGGTTAAAACCGCCCAAGAGGCCATTTCTGCATTGGAGACACCCATGGGTGTCTCAAACTGGGCCGAGACACCCTAGGGTGTCTCGGCCTTGGCCGAGACACCTTAGGGTGTCTCGCTCGTGCCGAGACACCTCGTGTGCCCCAGTTCAGCCTGAGACACTCCATTATGCCTGTTCGTCCGTTTCCACCGTAACTTCTTCATCCGAACTCGGATTTGAGCGATTTAAAGTGTGTTGGAAAGCCGACGAGGAGTTCTACAAGTCCCAATGATTAAATCATCAGCGGAATAAATGAGACACGAAGGGTATTTCACCGTTTGTGAACGATACGAGGTTCCCGATCGGTTCATATCTTCATCATTCCGAAGTTCCGTTGTTTCACGTAGTTCGTCGGTTTACTTCAAGTATTCACCGACATCAATCAAGCTTCTGTGAACCAGATGGTGATGTTCATCGTTATTTCTTAACACTGAGCTGTTCGTGGAGACCTATAGGCAATTTTCGATGCCTACAGATACCCCCTCCAAAGCATTCCAGACTCGTTTTTTTTGTAGAAGAGGCTGGAATACTTTGGATGTGATTGGTCCAACCTTCAGTCGGCGTAAAGGACCTGTAGTTAGCTTCGATTTTTGACTCCTTCGATTTTCAGTCTACTCGATGCTTTAATGAATAGCTGAAATCCTTCCGGCGCTGCGTTTATCGTCTGGCCGTCGTCGAAGTCTCAAATCTACAACTGATGAGTTGAGTTTGGCTCGTGTCATTGAGTTGATTTTTTGATCGTAACGCGTTGACTGGCGTTGACCTAGGGTTACGCGTTGACCGGCGTTGGCCCTAGGGTTTCGAACGTTGTACGATAACTTTTTGATTGCAACGCGTTGACTGGCGTTGACCTAGGGTTACGCGTTGACCGGCGTTAATCCTAGGGTTTCGAACATCGTATGTTGACTTTTGGTCGCAACGCGTTGACTGACGTTGACCTAGGGTTACGCGTTGACCGGCGTTGACCCTAGTTGACTTTTGGTCGCAACGCGTTGACTGACGTTGACCTAGGGTTACGCGTTGACCGGCGTTGACCCTATGGTTTCGAACATCGTACGTTGACTTTTTGATCGCAACGCGTTGACTGACGTTGACCTAGGGTTACGCATTGACCGGCGTTGACCTTAGGGTTTTGAACCGTCATACGTTGACTTTTGATCGCAACACGTTGACTGGCGTTGACCTAGGGTTACGCGTTGACTGGCGTTGACCTTAGGGTTTTGAACTGTCATACGTTGACTTTTGATCGCAACGTATTGACTAACGTTGACCTAGGGTTACGCGTTGACCGGCGTTGACCTTAGGGTTTTGAACCGTCGTACGTTGACTTTTGATTGCAATGCGTCGACTGGCGTTGACCTAGGGTTACGCATTGACCGGCGTTGACCTTAGGGTTTTGAACCGTCATACATTGACTTTTGATCGTAACGCGTTGACCGGCGTTGACCTAGGGTTACGCGTTGACCGGTGTTGATTCTAGGGTTTTGAACATCGAACGTTGACTTTTGATCACAACGCATTGACTAACGTTGACCTAGGGTTATGCGTTGACCGGCGTTGACTCTAGGGTTTTGAACATCGAACGTTGACTTTTGATTGCAACGCATCGACTAACATTGACCTAGGGTTACGCGTTCACCGGCGTTGATCTTAGGGTTTTGAACCATCACACGTTGACTTTTGATCGCAACGCGTTGACCGGCGTTGACCTAGGGTTACGCGTTGACCGGCGTTGACCCTAGGGTTTTGAGCGTTGTACGTTGATTAGTGTTGATTTTGTCGAAACATCCACCAACCGACGAAAACAGGCGAATACGGGCTTGAAAAGGGGATCCGGGGGTTCGAACCGGGTTGAGACACCCGAGGGTGTCTCAACCTTGGCCGAGACACCCTTGGGTGTCTCGGCCAAAACCGAGACACCCTAGGGTGTCTCGGTTCAAGAACCGAGACCTCGCCCCCTTTTTTCTCTCTTTTCCTTTTTTTTTGTTTTGTTTGTTTCCTCTTTTGTTTTCCCCCTCTTTCCAAATTTTCAAAAAGAGTCCTATTCCCTCTCAAAAACCCTATCTTCTTCCTCCTCTTATCCAAACACCATGGTTTCCCTCTTTGAGAACTCCAAACCCATTGAAACTTTCCCCCTTTAAAACCCTAAAATTCGGATTTTTATGCCCCTCTCTTGGCCAAAAATCTTCCTCTCAATCTAGGGTTTCTTTCTTCATTTTCAAGCTCAAGTCTTGATTCTTGGAGTTGGGTTTTCAAGCCTCTTGATTTGGGTAAGCTTCTCCTCAAAAACTCTCTCATTTTTGATAAAGATTGAAATTTTATACTTGTAATGAGGGTATGCCATGAATTTACATACCAAGATCATAGCTTTTTGTTCTCATGAGTTAGAAGATAGGATCTTTGATGATGGGTTGTGTATGCACAAAGTTTTGGGGGGGTCTTATGCAAAAAATGTAATATGGCCGAAATTAAGGGGCTTTTGTGCAAAAGTGGACTGAAATTTGAGGGCTTTTGTGCAAAAGTGAACTGAAATTTAGGACTAAAATTTCATGTCTGTTTGGCCGAAATTTGAGAGGTGTTTGCATGTAAATAATCAATATCGTTTGAGGGGTTTATTTGTAAAAATCAACCCAAAAAATGTAGAGGGGTTTATTTGCAAAAAGGGCTAAAATTTTAGGGCTGAAACTCCAAAAGTTTAGACCACAAACTCATGACCAAAGTTTTGAGAAAGGTATGCGAAAACTAAACCAAAATTTGTGGAGGGGTCTATTTGCAAAATTGGCTAAATCTTACAAAAGGGTTTATTTGTAAAATTAACCAAAATTGTGGGATATTGGGGGTGTTAGATGAACAAATATGATGATCATGATCCAATTCGAGCGTGTCCTTGACTAGAATTTAGCCTTGAACACGAGGGGTATTTTGGGTATTTCACCAAAATTTATCATGAGGGCTTACACCGCAATATGATGATCATTGTTTTGCATGCACGAAATTTGTAGGTTTAATTAGACCTCAACTATAAATTCCTATTTATTCATAGGATTTTAGTTAAAGTTCTTAATTTTTCTTTTAAATTTCGGGTATTCAGATTTATGATTATACTTGACCTGCTGATTTTCATTGCAGATTCTCAATGTCTCCGCGTCGACATCGACTTCATAGGAGTCGTTCCCTTTCGCAGCATAGCGAGGGAGAGGTTCCCACGGCCTCCTCTCCAGCGACATCCTCTTTCGGGGGTAAGAATCTATATTTTCTGTATCCCTGATTGATCCCTTCGCGGGTCACTCAGGAAGAACCGACATCCTCCTTCGCGGGGATCGATGTTTCAGGATATTCATGGTTCCAGTATACCCTCGTTTGGCCCCTTCGTGGGTCATTCGGGAAGGACCGACACCCTCCTTCGTGGGGGTCGAGGTTTCGGGAAATTCGCGATTCTGTTACACCCTCGTTTGGCCCCTTCGCGGGTCATTCGGGAAGGGCCGACACCCTCCTTCGCGGGGGTCGAGGTTTCGGACTTGTTTTGCTTGGCCAATTCAGTTGAACTCCTGTGATCGGAGGATGGTGAGACCCGAAATCATCATAATATCCGACGATGAGGGGGGAGAGGATCTCATTGCTACAATTATGCCTGGCCAAGAATCTGCCCTCTCGGTCTTTGAATCCGTGCAGGGTATCCT